GATTATTATATGGTTATACTGATTATTATATGGTTATACTGATTATTATATGGTTATACTGATTATTATATGGTTATACTGATTATTATATGGTTGTGATTATATTAATTTTACTGATTATTATATTTATGTTATAAGTATACATTACTGATCTTTCTTTTCTTGTGGGACCAGGACGAAGTTACCAAAAGAAGCAGCGAATGCCACCCCAATCCAGGTGGGTAACCAACCCAAGATGATCACAAACCAAGTCCAACATTGAAGTTCATCCCAAGAAGTTAATAAGCCTCTCATTAATTCAATGACACTTCCATCTTCCATATACCATAATCCGGTGAGATAGATAATGAATAATGGATTGGAAATAATCAAACTAACCACGATTTTCAATTTATTCTTCATGATTGATTGACTAGTATTATTAATCAAAGGTTGAATGAAAGTCAATGGTAATGCAATTAACCCAATTGACATGGCTAATGAAAAATGAACAATTAATAGAGTGGTGATTAACATTGAAATGAAAAATAATGAAACTCCTATTAATCCATAACTAGTGGTTTTATCAAGCTTCTTTAAATTGAATGGTAAGATTGGTATCATACTAATGATTAATGCTATGATTGTTGATAATCCTAATATCATTTGAATTGATGATTCAGTATATTTAACAACCATTGGTAATATGATTGATGTAATTAAACATCCAACTTCAATAATGGTGAAAATCAAAAGAATCTTAGTAATTTTACTTATATATTCGTTCATTTCTCTTGCTCCATTCAAAAAACATCCCAAAGAACTAATGGCAAATGCAACTGCCATCATTATTGCCGATGGTAAATAAGTTCCAATTGATACAAAATGCTTGGATGAAAGTAATAAATAAAAGAAAAATGATTGATGGAATTTTTCTAATAAATTATTAACTGATCTTAAAGTTGAATCAACTATTCTACCAAATTGCGTTATATCGGCATTTCCTTCATCCCCATGGGCGGTTATAGTAATTGCTTGTATTTGCCATCCACTAAAAGCTTCACATCCAGCAGTATTTCTCTTAGATAACCCGGCCAACGTTAATTGAATAATACCTTTAACCAAAGTTTTCAATCTTGATGAATAATCATTTTGATGGACCGATTTTTGAATAGAACAATGTAAATTTTCATGATATCCTATATCATTCACTGTATTTATCAAATCCAAGTTAGGTAACTGTCCATTTAATCCTTCATAACTAATAGAGTAATGTTTAAAATGATCCGATTCACTAGCGTATTCCATTACAAGGGCCGCTTCAATAGACCCTGCAGTCTCATCTAACGTTGTATGATATGCTTCAACCCATGACCTCAATGACGCATGTCCATCCTGCGGGAATACAAATATTATATTCTTTGACCAAATTGACATTCTATTGAAATATCTAGCCAATGATATCCCTAATGAGATTCCTCCAATATTAGCTTCATGTTTAGATGTAAACCACGGAACTGTTAACACCATTGACTCAGTGTCATCCCCTCTTGGTGCATGCAATATAGTATACAAAGTATCCTCTCCAAATTTATTCTTATGGTACATTGGTTCTAATCCAATATCTGTTAACCAGTTACCCAATATTACATTATTTTCTTCAATTCTGTCAAAATCGAACTTCCTGATCTCGGTTCTATAACCCCTAACTATATTCCATTCACTTTCTCTAAAATATGATGTAACTTGTGATGGCATTAATGCATTTTCTGATATATATACATTTCGATAATTACCTTGAAGTGGTAAGCTGGCTAACCATGATACACTTGAGATTGCCAATACTAATGAAATCACCGGTAACAACCTTATAATTTTCGGTATAAGCCCCAACTTATGGACCTTTCTAAGTACCGTTTCTGCCAATGCCATTGCTTATTCAAGTACAACCTTGAAAACTGTACGTGTTATGAAAATTCAGATGAACGAAAAAAATCATTATAAGATCGCGGTACACCAAACAAACAAAAAAAAAAAAAAAAAAAAACGGTGCAGAGCATAAGCATATAAACCAAACGATGGGGATATCTACTGATGAAGTTACTAGGTTATTATAAAGAGTTCAGTCGGAGGGTTCGTCGACTCCCGTTTGATAAAAGGACCCTTGATCTACTACAAGCCAAAACCAAAAATGAGTTCACTAACCTGAATGATGGACTCTTTTCTTATTCAAGTATAGACATCAATAAATATAATAAATATGCTAAAATTTTTGATAAGTTTTTGGTTGATGAAAATTACGATGCATTGCACGATATCCTTGACTTGGCTTATAAGAATGAACCACTTTGGGTCCAACAATTTCAACAAATCAATTATTTGTCATTCAAGAATAGTTGGCCCCAAGTTCATTTGGTTCACGAATTTGGTAGTAAACAAAGCATCAACAAGTATGATGAACAATTGGCATACTTTCAAAGCAAAAAGCCTCAACTTGATTTATTTGGATACTTCAACATTGATAGAAAATCATTAGCAAAAGATCGAATAAGACCATTCTCGAGAACCATTGAGAATGAATCATCCGTGGAAGAACTTATTTCAAAAGCAAGGAAACTATTCAAGTTTGTTGAGCAGAATAAGCATATACTATGCCATTATGTTCTTAGGGATTTTGAAGTCGTTTATGAGCCAACCAAGTTCGGATTACCTGGTAATGATATTAAAAGGGATAAAGAATTGAAATCGACAATCAATTATATCAAGCAATTTATTCAAATGTATAGACCTATTGACGAAGGTTTACTAAATCATTTGATCAAAACTGCAGCGTCATCTCATGATCCCAATTATAAAATAAATCATATTTTCTTCAAGTACATGGCTAAGAAGCATGAACAAGAAAAAATATCAACTTCTCCATTAATTAGAACTTATTTACGTAAAAAACAGTTGGTACCAAGTGAGGATTCAATTAAAGACATTTTGAAAGATTATGCCAGAAGACAGTTTTATATTAATTCAAACAATGACTATAGAATGTCTTGGATCTTTAACATAACTGATAGACAAATTCCAATAGAGGAAATGAAGTTAATTGATTCAGCAATTGAGAAACAAATTAAAATTTGAACACGACGTACTTTTGCTTGGAAGAATCTAAAACACATCCAATAGATCTTTTACCGTTTACTGCCAAATATTTTGGAGTTGAAACATAAGAATCTTGGTTAAACTTTAATGATTTTTCGATATCAATTGAATTCAAATCAACTATATCATTAGTCAATAGATTAATCGAAAATAAATCAAGGATGGATTCTGAGTCATTCTTGTATAATAAAATGATTCTGTCTGAGTCAACCCAATCATAACTGATAACTTCATGATTAATATTTATTATTCTCTTCTCTTTTATATTTTCTTGTATATTATATTGGATTAATGATAATGATGCATTTTCAATATTTGTTATCAAAAGATTATTTTCATCACGAGATATAAGTTTGGCATCAGTAGAAGCGGCATCGAGATTGACCGGATTATTAAATTTAATAATCGATTTGAAAAACTGGGAAAAATTAATTAATATTCCATTTTTCAAATTATTTTGCAAATTTTCAAAATTTGATAAGAGGTTTTCTTTTGAGTTTTCTGAAAGAAGTAACACTTCATTCATTGAACAATCTATATTGAAATATTTGAAAATTCTTGGTTCAAATAAAAAATTATTTAAATAATTCAAAATTGAACTATTTTTATAAGGTTGAGTTTGATTATTATTGAAAAAAGTTTCAATATCATTATCTTCACTAGCTAGTTTATCAATAATCTCAATTTTACACCAAGCTAAGAAATCGTTTATGTGTTTTTGTTCATCATTTATATCCCAGATTAATTTGTATAAAAGTTTAATAAAAGATTGACAATTTTCAATTAATTTTAAAATAGAATTTAAATTGAGACCAAAATAAGAAATATCAATATGAGGAGCTTGAGATAAAGAATTGACATTACTGCTATTATGTTCAAACCAATTGACCAAACCTTCCAAGTTATTTAAAATAACAATCATTTTTTCAATTCCAGTAATAATCTGAGTAAAGACGACTTTTCTAATTAAGTCATAAAGGGTATTTACCAATTTATTATGTTTTTTCAAACCTCTTTCGCCTAATTGATTAAGCCAATAGTCTTTCAAATCAGATGGAATTAAATTAGTTAACAAAATATCGTATAAAACGTTTAATATTTTAGTTTCCAGTTCTTTTTGAGTTGGGAAATTGGTTGTTAAATCAACCGAAGAGTAAACAGAATCTTTCAAATTTGACAAGTTACGATCAAAATGGGAAATGTAAGGTTTGCATTCACTTTGAAGATAGTTTAATTGATCAAATACATGATTTTGAATTGCAATTAGCTGGGTAATGTAGCCAATAATATCAATGAGATATTTTTTCAAATGAGGATTGGTATTCGGTTCGATTTCGTCATCTAACGAATGATTGAATCGAGAAGGTATATTAACAAAGAAATTAATCAAACATAATTGGTTTCCCTCATTTTCAACTAAGAAATATTGATTAAATAAGTCATTACTTGTTTTATGATCAATATATTTATAAGATTCTGGGAGTATCAAATCATCAATAGTAAACAAATTATTGAAAGTTAAAGACATTATCGAATTAGAACTTATCAGTATTAATAAATCCAATTGATTTTCAATCAAATTATCGTCAAATTGTAATTTTGGTAAATAATTTAGGGTATTAATTTCTCCTAGTTCAAAAGCTTCAAATTTTTCAAAAATGATTTTATCCCAGTTAATTAAACCAATCGGTAAATTTAAATCACTTTTAATACTATGAATGAATTTACCATTATTTGAATCATAAATTTTAATTAATTTATCAATACCACTAACGCAAAAAAACTTACCGTTTGGACTCCAATCAAATTCAATGATTGGAGATTTATTATTTATCGAATAAATTCTTTCTCCGTTTAATCTAAATACCCAAATTGACATTCTATTCATTGAAATAGTTAATAAGTCCATCGTTGGACACCAATTTATAACATTACCATCCGGAAACCCAATTAGCTTATTATTAGTTATACTTGTGAAGGAAGATGGTTCTTTGGAAGAGCTCTTGAAAATTTCATTTTGAGCAGTCGGCCGGAGGTCTGGTGCCGGGAGGAAGCTTTCAAATGGTGAAGTCATTAAAGAAGTAACGACAACTGAATCAGCGCCAATTTGTTTTTTTTTTATTCAGCGCGAGTTGCAAATTTATGTATAAATTGAGTAAGAACTAATGTAGGATTAAAGCAGCTGTAATGAGCACCATGTAATGAGCAAGCTGCCTTTTTGACTCTCAGTTGAGCATTTGTATAAGACCTTTCAGCGGAGATGCATAATCTTTGAACAATTAATGATGAGCAATTAATGATGAACAATTAATGATGAGCAATTAATGATGAACAATTAATGATGAACAATTAATGATGAACAATTAATGATGAACAATTAGTGATATTGAACAATATTGAACAAATCGTGAATAATCTTGGAAGTGATCATGGCAAAGTGACCATTGCGTACTAGTTGAGCAAGAAAGTGTGCTCCATGTGATAGCATCTATTACTGACTAAGATAAGAGGAATAGCTAGAAAATAGAAGATTTCATAAGCCTTAGACGGCCTGAAGAATGCTCTTTGATAGAGATCAAATGTAGGAATCAGTAAAAAGAAAAGAAAAGAGACACACAAAAGATGGCCGTAAATGCTACATCCCGTTAATAAAGGGCCAAGTCTTTAGCTTTAAGAGAACACTTTCATTTCAACCAAGCCATGGGCATGACGCCTAAACTTGAGAGAAGTTTGCCTTGACAGATGAAACCCACCGAGGACTTGTCCATTGCTAATCAACATTTTCCTTAATATGCTTAAGATCACAACAGAAGGTGATTCCTTTAAAGCTATTTCTCTTGATAGGTTATCTACTTATATAGAAAGAAATATAGACAATGATATGCAATAAAACGTCTGCAGAGCAGAAACTAAGATCAGGAATGTTATTGTTGAAGAAACCAAGTAGCCGAGAAGAAGAAGTTATACGTATTGGTTTCACGGACACATTCATGGCGCTGTGGCTGACGAAGCTAGAATTACATACATGTCAAGTGGCTTACGGGAGTGCCTGGAAGTAAGCTACTGAAGTTAAGTATCAACGGGGCAAGACTGTCCTAAGTTATGTGATTGTAAGACAATAGCGCTTACAATATAGTAATACGAAGTATGCAGATGAGGATTAAAATATAGACAAGCCGATGTCTAGAGTCTCAAGCGAATGGTTGCAAAATGCATGCGCTCTAAACAAAGGCATTGAGAATGGTTTGACGGATAACAAATGACAAATGATCTGCGCTCTACTGGGTGATTGATGGTATGAATATATTATAATACACGTCGTTATCGTTACCTTCTTGATTTAACTCTTAAAGAAAAGTTTCTCTTCAATAAGTTATCCTTTTGATTATGATCAATTAGGTTTGAATCATGATTCGTTATTAATAGATCATCAATCGAGAGGTTTTTATTGAAAAAATTTATAAAACTTCTTCTTTTTGATTTTTTCAGTTCACCTACTGAAACGGTGGAATCGTTTTTCGGGTTTGACAAGATTGAATCGTTTTTCGGGTTTGACAAGATTGAATCGTTTTTCGGCGACAAGATTGAATCAAAATTTGAAGTTGAACTTTTTGAATAAGAACTGTTTCTAGATTTATCTAAACTTTGTAAAGAGGTTTGATCTTCGTATTTCAATTGATCGATAAGCAAATCCGTTGATTTATGAAACGGATTAGATAATCGTTTATTTGTAGGAGTGTTATAGAAATCCATAAATTGACTAAAACGATTTTTTTTAATTTCTCGATTTGAGTAGTTTTTAATTAAATAATTGAAATTATTCATCAAGTAGAATAAATATTCTTGACAGAAAATCAAATTATTCAAGTTGCACGTTGGGAAAAGATACGGTTGGAATATTATTGAATAATTATAATTGGTCATTTTTGTTTCAATTGATTGCAATTTATTTAGTTGATATATTGAATAAATTAGAAAATCATTTTTATACCTTAAATTATAATTATTAATGTAATTGAGAAACTTATCAATTGTTTCATTCGTTTCTTCTTCTTTAGCGGTTTTAAAACTTTGCACACTTTGACTATCTTCCACCACTTCACTCATTTTTTTAATTTGTTCAATTTGTTTACTGGTGAATATCTCGTTTATCGAGCTCAAGTAGTTCTTCATATATTTTTTCAATACTCCACACACATCATGAATACTATAGATTTCTGCAAAATCCTCAATTTTCTTATGTAGTATTAAATGATTATATAATTGGTTTATTCTTTTAATGCTGCCGTTTATTCGAAAAATCCCTTCTATGGTACTCCCGTGCTCCAAAATATGTTGGAAACACTCGTGTATTATCCGGGGGATCTTAATCCTAACCGCGGCTATTATTATGTCAATATACTCGATTTCTTCCATACTTCCAGCATTAAATTTAAAAATATGATATCCTTCATCATTTAAACTCATATTTAAATTACTAAAAGAATCATTTATTGACATTGGTTGTTAAAAATAATAATCACAATTAGCAACGCTAAGCTTATCAGAAAAAAACAATCAAAGCAAACGTTTAATGGCTTACTCTCAATATATATATCCAACAGGGGAACTCTGCTACATTGATCTCTACGCGTACACAAATCACTAAACAATGGAGGAACAAAAACGGTTAAATTGTTATTCCCCAGGAATTGGCATTGGCTGATTCTAGAACTGTGCGAAAAGTCACAGCCCTGCGCTGCCCGTCCGGGCCAGTTCCTTGCTGTCCATACTTGTATGGATTTTAACAAGGGGCCCTACTCTTCTATCCACCCACCCAGATCTATCGACCTGCCTCCATATCTGGTATCAGGGTATCGGTTGGTGGTGGTAGCAGAGTGTAGTAGTCCAGGCTGCATCGTTCGCTGTTTCGCAGAGTCGTGTGCGCGTCCGGGCCAAATCCTCTCTTCGCCCGGGCCGCACACGACGGCCTTCGCCTGTGCTATTGCTAAGTGCGCGTGCGCTCTTCCTCACTCAAACCACTCTTTAGTTGCCTGATCACAATAACAATATATGTATATATCGATGATTGTGACTAGTAAGCAGAAGTAATTATTGAATCACCTGGGCGTACGCCAACCGCAGAAATGAGAACCTGGCCAGGCCCGATTTGCCAGAAGAACTCCATTAAATACATATATAATACATATATAATACACATATAATACACATAATACACATAATACACATAATACATATAATACACATAATACACATAATACACATAATACACATAATA